TTGCCCAGCGCCACGTCAGCAAGCACTTGCCAACGTTCTTCAAGTCCATGTCATCAATATTATCATCATCATCATCAGATTCGTGCGTGCACGGGTCCAATCCGGCGCGTGGATCAAGTAGACACGGTGGCAGACAGGCGCAGATGACCAATCACGCGCGTGATTGGCGCATGGTAATTCAAGTAAGCGCTGAGCATGCAATCTGGCACGCGCGAAACAATACCACCACGCGCGATACACCGCGCGTCAGCAGCTAGAGTAAATAGGAGGATATCGCTCCAATACCAAACTGCAATGAACCCAGTCAGATGGAAAGCTCGTCAGTGTCGAAATACAGAATGTCTCAGCGCAGTTTCAATGTCTCCAAAATCGTACATGTAATAAAGTAGTCCAATGTCTCGTGACCAGAGGAGAAGCTGATAGGAGGGAGATCAGACTCAGAGGGTGGAAGAGAAAGTATCCATCACCATGGAAGATAGACCGCCCTCACAAGCCCACTTCCTCTTCGGGCATCTCCCGCTCACCACGTCAGCAAACAGTCTCCTCTGATACGTTCTGACAAAGAACAGATCTCATCATGGCGCACAATGGCACGCACCCCTTCTGAAGACGAACGGCAATGCGCGATGTCGACACAAACGTGAGCAGGTAAGCTTTCCACATTCGACCAATCCCACAGCCCTGATCCTCCTCGACCGTACTCCATCAATGTCATAATCAGTGTGGCACGAGTCACGTCAGCATAATCAAGCGTCCAGCTGGCGCCGTAGACAGAGAAAGGGGCCAAGTAATAGCAGTCCTGCGTAGTCGTCCAATGTCAGGCCAGCATCAAGCCAGTGTAGTGCCAGCATCAACCCAGCGTAGAGCCAGCGTCAAGCCCGTGTCAAGCCAGCGTCAAGCCAGCATGTGAAGACTGATTGTCCACCCGCAGGGGCTGGGTCAACTTAGTGTTGACTTGGTTGACCAGCCTCTGGTCTCGCAGCTACGGTGGCCCAGATCGTCCGTCAGTCAATGGCCTGGATCTCGTACAGTTGCAGATACCACTTGGACTTTATTCCTTCCGGATACCCGCAGACAACCAAAGGTATGTGTCTGATCTGTGGCCAAGGCTGGGTGCATGTGGACTTTGACTCGTGGGCCTGAATTCACGAGCTGAGGTCAACTGTTGACTTTCCAAAAGTCCACTGTCTCACGGTAGGCCTCGGAAGGCTTTTGGTCTTGCCTGCGGTACCCCACAGTGGTAGGCCTTCGGGCAGGCATTTTCATGACTTGGGCGTGACCTTTGATCCCCGTTTCGGGCCTTTGACCAAAGTGATGACCCACAGCCCATGGCTGGTGCATATTTCAGCCGAGTTATTGCACTTATATATTTCACATGCATTCCAATTCCTGACCTAGCAGTTTTCCAGTGATATAATCCAGGTTGGCATGGTTCTAGTTGTAAACTATATGGAGAACAGCAGTGGGGAGGCGGAGGCACTGTTTGTTAGGGGTAAGGGTAACGACGTACTTATAATTGGGTTACTGAACATTAGAGTGGAGTGCTTTAACTGTCTTATGTCAAAAGCCAAATGGAAAGCTCCGAGTCTGCCAGTGACATTCAGCAGAGGTGTTTGATTGTGTGTGTGTGTGTGTGTATGTGTGTGTGTGTGTGTGTGTGTGTGTGTGTGTGTGTGTGTGTG